TTGAAATGCTCTAGTGCCCCCTTTTGTTGGAGTGGGAACTTGAAATTTGGCAGGGAGCCTGACTGTGTCAGGCATGTGCCTTTTGACACCCCTCCAAAAAAAATCTGCCCAAATTTGGCCAAATTGTAAGGCTGGGAAATATTGCTGTTTGCATGTGCCCCTTAGATTTTAGCAGCTAAATTTCCCAAAGATTCTGTCCACACTGAGCATACTCAAGCCTGGATCTGAGCAGGACTTTCCTTGCAATTGCAGGTCTGAGCTACTTTCAGCTGTACCTAATCTGGGCAATTAAACAGAGCATACCTCAGTGACCACCTGCTGGGCCTAAGCAGTGTGGGGGAGGAAGCCATCTGCTGTGAATGTGGAGGGGATGAGAGTCAGAACTTTGGGGAGGGGGAAATGGAAACTGGGACTGGAGGCAGGCATGGAGGGGGAGAGGAAAACTAGGTGTTGGGGTCAGGAGGAAACGGGGAGCTGGGGGGACTGGGCCTGGCTGGGCAAGGAGAATGGGAGCTGGGGCGGGAAATGTGTGGGGTGAGGGGACTAGGAGTCACTGAGTGGAGGGAAGACTGAGGTCAGATGAGGAGTTAAAGGAGAGACTGGGAAGGAGAACCACGGGGGGAGAGGACACAGGGCTGGAGTGTGTGGGGAGAACTTGAACAAGAAGCTGGGGGTGGGACACTGAGATTGGACAAGGAGATTGGGACTCAGTCAGTGGGGACAGGAAATGTGAGAATGAGGGGCACTGGAGGCTGAGATGGCAGGTGAGAGAGATTGGCCAAGGAGCCCAGAGGCAACTGGGAGGGGCTGGGCAAAGAGACTGGGTATGGATACTAGGGCTGGGGGAAGACTGGGACGGGGAGTCCAGAACGATGTGTGGAAAGGCACCTTCTCAGCTTTGGCTCAGAGCTTCCCACTCTGGCCTGGGTAAGTCAGCCCCCCCACTCTGGATGGTGTTTATTCTCCCTGCTCATGCCATGCTTACCCCTGAGGGGAGTCTGCTTTTCCACACTCGCGCTATTAAATAAAGAGCAATGGTGTTTTCAAATCCTGTGCAGAGGCTGTTGGCTCACACTCACGTATCCCTAAAAATGTCAATGTTTTAGGTGGAATTCTGGGGAACGTGCAAGAGCTGCGGGGAAATGTGGGGAAGACAGCACTAGTTTCAGGGCCTAGGCAATTGTACTGCAGGGTCCTCACCGCAAAGAGGGGCATCAGCCATGAGATCTGCTTGTGGAGTGCAAGCCTAGAAGCCAAAAGCCAGGAACAGAGCCTAAACTCTGCCTAGGATCAGCTAGCTCTGGGCATATGGGACTCAGCATTTGGATCCCCTCACAGCAGTGTGGCAAGTGTCCAGCAGGAGGAGCTAGTCCACCTCTGTGAAATACTCCTCTCACAGGGATGTTGTGAAAATCAATTCATGAATGTTTGTGAAGTATTCAGGAACAATAGTGCCACAGAAAACCCTGTGAGGAAACTAACAATTCTGCCTGCAGAACAGTATTTGAATAGTGTATAGTAGCTAAGGCTTGTGACCACACTGAATGATGGGGAAGAAAACAAAATACTGAATAGCTGCTCATTATGTGATCACTGTCCATCCTGTGCATTGAGTGAGGCAAGGGTCCTGTGGAAAAAAAATAATAATTAGTCTATCCTAATTCATATGCACAATGGGGCCAAATTAAGGTTGTGCAGCCAGCCTTAATTCTGGCATTTCCTCACTTTTGACTTTGGAACCCTAATAATGTTCTTTTAATGTAGTTTTTGAATATATTTTACATTGGTATATACTGTGTGCTGAAATTCCTATGCATGGTGGCATTGGTTGCAATCACAGACACTTAAAGCTGATAGAATCATAGAATATCAGGGTTGGAAGGGACCTCAGGAGGTCAGCTAGTCCAACCCCCTGCTCAAAGCAGGACCAATCCCCAACTAAATCACCATATCCCTAAATGGCCCCCTCAAGGATTGAACTCACAACCCTGCATTTAGCAGGCCAATGCTCAAACCACTGAGCTATCCCCCCTGCATGATTTAATAATCATTCTTTGATCTAAAGAAGCAACTGATACTAAAAGTTCTGAATTGGCCTATGAACTTTGTTTGATAATTATACAGGTGATGGGTTTGTTCACACTACACTTGCCCTGAAATGGTTAATGCAGACTGAGAAGGGGGCTAATGAACCTGACAGACCACAGCTGAGGGGAATCAGGTGGCCAAGTAATCCCCTGACTGAGGGAGCCCAGCTGTGGAGGAACGAGCTGGGCTGGGTTTGTAAGGACAGGAAATGGGAAGCAGAGGGAAAGTCTGTGGTGACTCCCTGGGAGAAGGTAGGAGTGTTTGGAAGCTGCAGAGGCAGGTAGCTCACAGTTACTTCTATAGGTACCAGAAGTAGGGGTGCTGCTGGCCCTGCACACCTGGGGTCCCAGCCTCAGATCAGGGGGGAAGGGGGCTGGTTTTCAGCACCCCCCCTATTAAAAATGTTCCAGCACCACTGGTTATTTCCTGGATGGGAGGAAGAGGTTGACAAACCCTGAGAGTGGGGACTGCCAGAAGGAAGGACAGGACTCAGGGAAAGGCAGGAAGGTCCAGGCGGGAACAGATCTTGGCTGCTCACTAGAGGGTCCCTGAGCCAGAACCTGGAGTAGAGGGTAGGCCTAGGTTCCTCTGCCAGCCACTGTGAGAGTGGCACCAGAGGGAGTGAATGGGAAGACTGCCTGAGACTGCTAGTGTGGAGAGAGACTTTGATACCCCGAAAGGGGGAAATGTATTTAATGACCTGGCCAGAGGGCCGAGGCACAAAGAGGCAGCTCCTGGAGCAAGAGAGGGGTTATGGACTGAGAGAGAAGGATGGAGAGATGCCATGCAACTGCGGGAAGGGGCACTGACCCTGCAAGGCTAATTCCCAGAATGGTCAGGAGGCACCATCCTAGCGGTGAGTAGAGCACCCCATCACAAGGTAGCAAAATGACAACTAAAAGGAAACGTAAAATACAGTAATCACAAATCATTTAATCCACAAATATTATGATAATACATCATATACTTTATGGGTGACTTAAACATATTATTACATACCAAGCCACCAGTATAAAAGTAAACAATGAATATACAGGATATACAAGTATCAGAAATACTTAAACATTTTTTCCTCCACTTTAAGGCTACTAAAATTTATAAATAAAATGATAGACATTTGGCTGTTTTCTAAAATACCAGAGTCTGAGTACTGATATATGCAAGACATAAAAAGAAACCACATACAGAATATTGTTTTTCTTTCAACTGTCCTCCTTTTCAAATGGTGGCTTTATTCTGGCTTTATTTGTTTTTTTTAAAGTCTTACATGCACTTAGCTTGCTCCAAAAGAAAATAAAAACTCACACCGCCGCCCCCCCCCCCCGAAATTTGATATGCTCTGTGCACTAGGATTTGTGAGTTGGATGTATTATATACTCTCAAAAAAAAAAAAAACCCATCAGTTTGATAAGTAGTGCTCTGGGGCAGATTTTGGCCAGTATTGCATGTAAATGTAGATTATTAAATATGGTTCTGGTGAATGCCTACATTTTTACCATGTAAGGCAAATCTTGCAAGTCCTTCTGCCCAGATTTTATCTCTGTATTATGCCACAGAAGGGCAGTCCCCATTAGTTGCTATTGAACAGAAGCGTCATGGATTCAAGGGAAATGGATGGAAAATCGCTCCAATACAAATGGTGCTGCCATTTTAGATGGCTTGTTTTCCTGTGCATTTGAAATACACTCTTTGAAGATGAGAAATAAGAACACTTCTGATTGTTCATGTGAAACTGTACCCCTTTAATATACGAATCAGGTAGCTGGGCATCCAGCTATCTAAGGATAGTTGCACTATAAAGGAAACATGGGATTCATATTACAATGCATATGACACAATTGTTTTGTAGGGGAGAAAAGATGGAAGTATAAGAAAATGTTCTGAAGTCTGTTACACTAGAGTGTTTTGAATAATGTTCACATGTGAAAACAACTCTCTAATACTGATGAGATCAGTGATCTGCTCTGTAAGCATTGCTTAGGTAAAGAAATGGCTTTCAAATACATAATTTTTCATGAGTTTTAAAAATATGCATCTAATTATTGTAATACACCCTTTGGTACAGTATTTGTCATCTGTGTTGTCTGCAAGGCTATCTGTCATTCGCATGACATCTAAAAGGAGGTACAGTCTCAAACCAAAGTATCTTTAGAGCTGTGGGAGTGGATGAACCCAATGGTGGGAGCAGAGTTTTAAATGTATTCTAAATCTGCTGTGTCTGCAACCCAAGGGTGAGTCGCTATAAAATTAACAGAATTTCAAAACAGGGAAAGGTTAGTGCATCAAGACACAATAATATTTGATACTGTTGTAGATTTTCTTTCTAGTGGATTCCCTCCTAAGTACCATGTTTTAAGGGCCAAATCTTGACCTGCAGCATGCACTTGTCCAGGGATGTTCGGGAATATAAGATGCCCTCTTACTCTGCACAAATTATTCATATCGTAAGGCCATGGCATGGGACAGAGAGCAGCTTCTGTGGCTCCACCCCGACCCCAACATACCAGGCTGTGCAATCAAGGCAGCACAGATGGGGAAATGAACTCTGCCAGCTTTAGCTGGTAGGACTTGATGACTCCATGATCTAGCCCTGCGTAACTTAATGGATATTTTGGCTAACTATATCCCTGCTGTTGGAGGATATGTTATTGCACACTTAGTGATAGAGGGCTATGTTCACTAGTTATAAGGAGCTAAAATGCTTGAACTATAGAAAATGCTGATTTGCCAAAACAAAGTTTTCACAAAACAGGGTCAAGTTCAATGCATTTCCCACCTTGAAAAAATGTTGAGAAAAATATTTGAAGTGAAAAATTCTGATTTAGTTGGTTCAAAACTACTTTTTGTTTCAAAATTTAAGTTAATGAGCCTCAAAAAAAGCTTTTTTTTTTTTTTTTTTTTTAAAAAGTCAAAATTATTGAAATGAAACATTTGGATTGACTCAAAACAAAAATCTGCGCCACCTCCACCCCCGGTTCCTGAATGTTTTTGAAATTTCACTTTTTGCCCTGATTTGAGATGGGAAAATATTTTGAACTCTCAAATATATGCAGTACAAAAAACCTGTTTCTCACCCACCTATGTTGAGTAGATCAACTCGTTTTCTGAGACTGACCACTTGGCATATTGCAGTGAATGTCTTGCTTCTAGGAGGCCTTGAAGTATGAAAATGTTCTATCATAGAGCCTACAGTTTCTGTAGTGCTCTGCTCTATTGCAGATAGAGTACAAAGATTAATGGGTGCAATGTAAAGGTTGAAATTAATTAATTTGACTTGTGGAGGATTTTTTCACAACAAAGTTGGCTTTCAGATGAACTGGTAATGCATTTCCCCTCTGCCTCTAAAAGAGAAAAGTCACCTCAGTTCAATAACGAGCAATATAATTCTCTGCCAGCATTTTGTTTGGTACCAGGATTTCCTCAGTCTTAGTTTCCTAATAGCAATGCTAAGCTCTTACCTAGTGGGGTTTTTTTTTTAATTCAATAATTTCAGAGCAATTTACAAAGAGGAAATTTTTCAGATTGGAACACGGAGAAGCTAAGTGACTTGTCAAAGATTACAGAAGTCCATGGCAGAGCTTGAATTGGTTGTTTTAAGCACTATACCATGCTGCTTTCTTTTGTGATGCTCTGGACTGGGGATTACAAAATCTGGATTTTTGCCAGGACAGTTGTGCTGTTGCAACCACTGCAACTTTTCTGCAAGTTCTTTAGTTCATCCTTGTTCTGTAATAGGTGTTGGTGTGTGTTCGTTTTTTTTTTTTAAATGTGTATAGAATAAGATGCAATAGGTACCTTGATGTTGCTCCTAAGTTTCTCATGTTAACAAGCCCTAGTTACAGAGGTGTGGATGTTCTATACTTAGATGGCACTGTGAAAATACCAGCCTGGCCCCCGTTTCCTACATTTCACTATTTGACTGTAAACACAACTAATTACGATGGACATACACTAAGCCACAGCTGAAAAGTTGTTTCATACATTGAATATTGTCTTTTGAGAGCTTTTGCCATTTGCAGGTGGAAATGGTATTTCAGTGGAGAAGGAAGGGACAGATGATGGCTACATTGATCCAGTAATATCACTATTCCTCTCAGGTGTTCAGCATTTGTATCATGGTGTTCTTCAGCAGGAAACTTAAGCTCTGGCACTGAAAACAGTAATTGCAGAGGAAGTAGCATGGACCTCTAATCTAAGCCTATTTGATGTCACGGTGTGCTTGAGCCTGTGGGACCCATGTTGTTGTTGAAGCCAATGTTGTACTTCAGGATTTAGTTTCTTCATTATATTTGACTTTAGAGTCACTGAGCTGTTTTTCCAGAATCAAAATCACAAGTTTCTCACTTCTATTCTCAGATGCAAAGCAAAAATCTCTAGTGGGAACATGCTTCTTAAAGAAGTTTCTCTACTCTTCTCACTTCTCCCCATTTTATTAAGTTCTGCTCTCCAGTATGGTCTTAATCACTTGCAAAATTGGAGATGTGCTCTCCTATCGGTTCCTGACACTATTGAAAGGAGAGAACTTGTGCCCATCAGAACCCCACTTTCCATCTAAGCCTCTAAGATCTTTTTTAGGAATAATAAAAACATATACAAGAAGAGTTTGGGGGTCAATTCCATGCAACACCCTTTCTGCTTTTTCCCTTCTATCTTTGACACAGCCACGTGTCTTGAGTTTAGGTTCATTTTCACCCAACAAGACCCCAACACAGATACTGAGGTTATGATGTGCTGTGATCTTGTTCTGAATAATAAGCATCAGCAGCCCTATTGACTCCCTCCTTTGAAAAGGCTGAAATCGCTGTGAACTGAGAATTACAATTTGTAGCTTTCTGGTTTGGTTTTGTTTTTCTTCATTATAAGCCAAGTGAGCACATGCTGGTTTCTGATGAAGTCCGTGTAGTAGGCGGATGGTAGGAAGGAAGCTCACAAGCTTTGCCACAACTCACCAAGTATGGCCAGTTTGCAGCTCTAGGAATGAGTTTTTGTTTTGTAAAAGGCAAAGTTTCAAAGGACTTTCTCATCAAGTAGTTTGTTGATTCCATCACAGATCTTTTTGAGGTGTGGTCGGCAATCCCCATCAAGGCTATACAGGGCAGTGAGGAATTCCACATCTGCAAAGTGATTGAAGACATGGTTGATACGCCCATGGGACCTGGGCGTCAGGTGTCGCTCTACCAGTTCGTGCACCAGGTCTTTACATTCATTCAGAAGTTCTGCGAGAACATTTCTATCAAAGGTGTATTCTACTTCGTAAAAACTGACAATTGTCATGGCTGTCTGATTCAACTTCTTTCTGAATTTGTCTACGATTTCCAGCTCTTCTTGGTTGAATTGATTGTTTCGGTAGAGGATCCCAATTTTTATTGCCACTTTAATCAAGTCCTTCATAATTTTGTGAGCTTCCTTCTTGTTCCTTGTATGTTCTCTAGTTACTTTATATAACTCATCAAATATTTCACTGCTTGTGTCGTCGATGAGCATGTTAGCCATAGTTTTGGTAGCCATTTTACTCAGGAGCTTTTTCTGTGCTTGCAGCGCAAGGTTCTTTGAACTGAAACAATCAGGACCTATTTCAGAGGAGGAAAAAAAGAAGAAAAAGTTAATTGCACTTTAGAAATAACTTGCATATAGTGGCAAATTAGCAACATGTACTACAGGATGTTGTTTGTTAGCCACACTTATAAGGTGCCTATAAGGTTCAGTGGATACTCCAGGGATAGGTCATGTCTTCAATATTGTTTTTCCATCAATCCTCATAGCCTCAGAAGCTCAAGTATCAATATACCATTTTTGATTCCTAAAATCTGGGGGTGGTTGTTGATGGTAGAATTGAATATTCAAGATATACATTTATTTTATTACTTTGTCCTTTGCAAACACTAAAACTCCATGCATATTCTTGGTTTTAAAATAGACACAGGTTTAAAATGAAAGCTTCCTCAGCTGAAAGCTTTTGTTGAGACAGTGTGCACAGAAATGTAAATTACCTGTCAAAGACTCTGTAAGATTTAATGTGGTTGAGAAATACAAGGTCCATGAAGAATTACAGGTATGGTCACTGGGTGTCACTATTGCTCCATGCTTGAAATGATTAGGCAGCATGTTTAGAAGAGCTGACTGCACAGATCCATAAACAAATTTGTGTGTCTTCAATCTATTATAATGGTGCCTTTTTGGCTTTCGTTGCCAATGTGCCTAATTTGAGAAACTGACTTTTACAGAGCAATTTGTATTTGAGCCTTTGTAGAAATTTCTCCGGCAGAACAAAAATATCTGAGCAGTTTTTTACATAATCATCATCATAAACCTGGGTATCTTGGATTTTACATCCACATGACTGTATTAATTTACACCAGCTAGGACTGTCACTCAGCAAGGTACTTAAGCATGTGCTTAACTTTTTAAGCATGCATAGTCCCAGTGAAATACCTTGTTGAATGAGAGCTAAAGATGATTGCAATATTTGACATACTCCTGTTTGTCATAAATGGTGGTTGTAGTTTGGTTGGTTTTTGGGGGAGGGGGGGCGGAGTTTACAGGGAAAACATAAAAGGCAATTGAGTAACTGTATGAAATGCTTCTATAATACTACGCTTGAAGTGTTTGTACGTGGAATATAAGAAATTTGGTCTGTGTAGTAAAAGCAATGATAAATGGGGGCAAGTCAGGGAGCAGGGAATCTAGAGGTAGCCAGCAGAATAGTCACTTTTAGTAAGAGAATCGCACCTCCACACCCCGCTCCCAACCCACCCGGTCTCTCTCTTTACCTAGTTGTTTGTTTGAATGACAGTAGCTTGTAGAGGCCTCAATGGAGATTGGGGTCCCATTCTGCTAGGCACTGCGCCAACACATAGAAACTGTCCCATCCCCAAGAGTGTAAAAATCTAAATGGATAAGATAGACCAAAAGTGAGGGGAGTGAAGACCCAGTGAACTGTTAGCCTGAAGCAGGAATAGGGGAGATAGCACAGAGAACTGGACAGCTACTGCTTCGCTCTGTAGCGGCACCCATGGAGTCCGTGAGCTCCTGAGACTCCAGTAGAATAGTACCTGTGGAACAGCTCCATGGCCATGGAAGAGGGGATTCCTTCCAGCTGGACCCTTTCTTATCTGAACTTTGGATGTGCCTAAGGACAGGATTTGGCTCTAAATTAACAGACAAACTTTTCATAAGCGGAGTGCTACTGTCACTGATGCAAAAACAAAGCTCTACTGTGACTCTTGGTCACTTTGTGGAGTGGAAAGGATAAAATAGCTCCCCCTAACTCAGATGAGATATCAAGCAAAACGCTGTAATAGATTTTTTTTTTTTTTTTTTTTAAAGGGAAACCATGGTGAAATGAAGCTTCTTTTTCATCTCTCTCACAAGTCAGTAGCTCAGCAGTCAAGGTATTGACCATGGTGTGTGGTACATTGGAAAGTGCTGCTTTGAGAGGTTGGGACTAAGTACTATGTTTCTGGTAGCACCTCCCATGGGCTAAAGGCTGAACAAACTCAAAAGAAGGCCTAGTCCTCGCCCTGTAGAATCTACAGAGAAACAGCTCTCATTTGCTGAGACTAGTCTGGAATCTATGTAAATTTGCAGCAATCCCTACAAACTGAATACCCACACATCTTCCCCTTCTGCCCTACCTTGGGGCCATTCGCTTTCCTGCTCCAGCAAAGGTAAGGGCAGGTAGTGCCCTATAAACTCCAGTGCACAAGCTGTGGTGTTGCCAACATATGGTTGGTAGGGAACTTTATTGGATCACTATCTGCCGTGAGTCAATAACAGTATCTAGCAGATGTACCTGGATAGATTCTCAGAGGCTGCTGCCCTCTAGGGAGACCAGGCTGGCCCTTGAAGACCTATTCCAGTACTGGAGAAAGGCCCAAAGGAGAGGAATAACCATAGAATTTCTGCAATAATGGGGCTGAAGGCAGCTCTAAATTACATTATATGTCAATAGTTCCCAGGGTAACCCTAGCCATAGAAGCTGGTAAAGGAACTTCTAGGAGTGGTGCCAATAAAGGAGGGCCGGCTGGCGGGGGTTGCACTTGCTCAAAGTCCCATCGTTCTGTGGAGCTGGGGGACTATGGCCTGACTGCTTTTGAGCAGTGGCCCCAGACTAAATCAGTCTGATGGCTGCTGCTGGAGTGGTTTGGAGCATTGCTCTGGCTGTGTGGTCACAACCTGACTGACACGTGACCTGGCCACTGTCTCAGATATTTTGAGTCTCATTATTTTGGATTCTTACTAAAATAGAGTGAGAACATGCTTCTGAGATTACAGTGAATTAGAACAAGTTGTTTTCCAGAAGAATTGTTTCACTACCTCAAATCTGATACCAAAACATATGAAATATTTTTCTGACTATTCCAAAATTGGCCGTTCAGTTATTTTCGCTCTTTTTTGCTAGTTTAAAAAATAGAAGATGTTGAAGCTTTGAATGTTCAAGCATTATATTTCTTTCCTGGTTGCCTAATACAGCTGTGTAATTAACCAGGGCTTGGGGGAGGGGTGTGTGTGTGTGTGTGTACGCGCGTGGCGGGGTGTGTGTTTCAAAATGCAAATTGAGTGACTAATTTTGAATTAAATGTGACCTGAATTAGTGCAAACAGCTCTTAATCTGATAACTACTGAATTAAGGGTGGTATTTTAAAAAGGATTATTCCACACAGCTACTGCTAAAATTCCTAGTCTTAAACAGCCTCTTTTACCAATCTAAAACAACCAGGGAAACATGTTAGAAAGGAATAATAGGAAACAATGGTTAGCACTGATAAAATGTACATTTCAGTTATTCAGATTACTTCATCATGGGTACCTTCTGCTACCCTTTCTCCACCGTATCTGAACCTACAAGCCCATCATCTTAGATCTGGCCTTCAGTGGGACTCAATCCAGCTCCTCTTAAAGGTAATAGGAGTTGGATTGGGTGGGCCCTTGTTTGCAAAGAATCAGTTTTGCAATGTGGGTGCACCCTGTTGTGTATGCACAAGCGTGTGTGTGTGTGTGTGTGTGTGTGTGTGTGTGTGTGTGTGTAAATTAGGGTTTTAGGGAGCCAGCTTCATGATGGGTCCGTATATACACAAGCTGCACATTACCTCTGGAGCTGCAGTCAATTGCACACATTAAAACAAGCATGCAATATTAGAGGCTAGATGAAGGCTGGCTGAAAAATTAGTTTATGATGATGCATATTAATGACACAACTGAAGTAATAAAATTCAGATTTTTATTATATTTCAGGGTAATTATTGTATTCTAATTCAACCTTTTTCTTAAAAGAAAATATTTTTCTTTGAAGTCTTTCTCTTACCAGGGCAGTTTTTTTCCCTTATGCCGGTTTGATAACTTCAGGAGTTTATAAAATAAGAAACGAGCCAGTAGGCTTTGAACATAACATTTTATGTCACCACTATGGCAATTTGATAAGATTTACATCTCGGAGTACAGTATTGGGTCATGAAAGTACAGTACCAGCTTGCAGCGATTCCAGGGAGATTCTGTTTTGTCTGAACAATGTACATTTTATTGAATGTGAGCTCTTTTCACAGGGGGTCACAGTTTCCTCTCAGATGGGCCTCTGCTACTTTGATCCTTGCTTTTGCCTCCTTTGGGCAAGAGCCAATTGTAACGCATTCTGTCTAGAGCCATCCACAGCTATCACAGGGCTGTGACGTTTCCTGCAGGCTCGACAATGCTGGCTAAGAAGGACACAGCACCTCTCTGCTCTGTAAACTCCATTGGCTCTGTGTTTACCTCCCAACAGCTTTCAAAGGCCTGCTCCTAGTCTACGAAGCTGTGAACAGAATGAGACTTGGTTACTTCAGAAATGGCCTTGTCCTCCATGACATTCCAAAGCCATGTGTCTGGATGTTAGGGGCCATAGTTGCTATATAAACATTAGGGCTGTCAAGCGATTAAAAAAATTAATCGCAATTAATTGCACTGTTTAAACAATAATAGAATACAATTTATTTAAATATTTGTGGATGTTTTCTACATTTTCAAATATATTGATTTCATTTACAACACAACAAAGTGTACAGTGCTCACTTTACATTTATTTTTGATTACAAGTATTTGCACTATATTCACCTAATACAAGTACTGTAGTGCAATCTCTTTATCATGAAAGTTGAACTTACAAATGTAGAATTAAGCGCAAAAAAACTGCATTAAAAATAAAACTGTGTAAAATTTTAGAGCCTGCAAGTCCACTCAGTCCTACTTCTTATTCAGCCAATCGCTAAGAGAAACAAGTTTGTTTACATTAGCAGGAGATAATGCTGCCTGCTTCTTGTTTACAATGTCACCTGACAGTGAGAACAGGTGTTCGCATGGCACTTTTGTAGCTGGCGTCGCAAGATATTTACATGCTAGATGCACTAAAGATTCATATTTCCCTTCCTGCTACAACCACCATTCCAATGGACATATGTCCATGCTGATGACGGGTTCTGCTCAATAACAATCCAAAGCAGTGCAGACCAATGCATGTTCATTTTCATCATCTGAGTCAGATCCCACCAGCAGAAGGTTGATTTTCTTTTTTGGTGGTTCGGGTTCTGTAGTTTCTGCATCAGAGTGTTGCTCTTTTAAGACTTCTGAAAGCATGTGCCACACCTCATCCCTTTCAGATTTTGGACGGCACTGCAGAGTCTTAAACCTTGGGTCAGTTAGAAATCTCACAGTGGTTCCTTCTTTGTGTTTTGTGAAATCTACAATGAAAGTGTTCTTAAAATGAACGGTTTCAGAGTAGCAGCCGTGTTAGTCTGTATCCGCAAAAAGAACAGGAGTACTTGTGGCACCTTAAAGACTAACAAATTTATTAGAGCATAAGCTTTCGTGGGCTACAACCCACTTCTTCGGATGCATATAGAGTGAAACATATATTGAGGAGATATATATACACACACATACAGAGAGCATGAACAGGTGGGAGTTGTCTTACCAACTCTGAGAGGCCAATTAAGTAAGAGAAAAAAAACTTTTGAAGTGATAATCAAGATAGCTCAGTACAGTCTGGGGCCACAAGTACTCCTGTTCTTCTTAAAATGAACATGTGGGTTCATCATCCAACATGAAATATATGGCAGAATGCAAGTAAAACAACTCTCCCCCAAGGAGTTCAGTCACAAATTTAACGCATTATTTTTTTAATGAGCGTCATCAGCATGGAAGCATGTCCTCTGGAATGGTGGCCGAAGCATGAAGGGGCGTACAAATGTTTAGCATATCTGGCACATAAATACCTTGCAATGCCAGCTACAAAAGTGTCATACAAACGCCTGTTCTCACTTTCTGGTGACATTGTAAATAATAAGAGGGCAGCATTATCTCCTGTAAAGGTAAACAAACTTGTTTGTCTTAGCGATTGGCTGAACAAGAAGTAGGACTGAATGGACTTGTAGGCTCTGAAGTTTTACATTGTTTTGTTTTTGAGTGCAGCTATGTAACAACAACAAAAATCTGCATTTGTAAATTGCACTTTCACAACAGAGATTCACACAAGTACTGTAGTGCAGGTGAATCGAAAAATACTATTTCTTTTGTTTATCATTTTTACAGTGCAAATATTTGTAATCAAAATAATATACACTTTGAGTTCAATTACAACACAGAATACAATGTATATGAAAATGTAGAAAACCATCCAAAATATTTAATAAATTTCAATTGGTATTCTATTTAACAGCGCAATTAAAACTGTGCTTAATTTTTTTAATCACAATTAATTTTTTGTTAATCATGTGAGTTAACTGTGATTAAACGACAGCCCTAATAAAAATAAAATATAGTTAAGGTACATTCCATATGGCCAGTGCTGCTGGAGTGAACCAGATTTAGTTTAATTGAGGGCTAGGGCCACAATATTCACAGTGGTAGGATCCCAGCTGTAGACTCCTGGTCTGAAAAGTCTGTGGGGGGTGTGGTTTTTTCTTGCGCTTTTTTTTTTTTTTTTTTTTTTTTTTAAACATCCGGAATGATGCTATAAGTAACATCACTCCTGAACCAGTCATAGGCAGGGAGCGAACCCCAGACCACTAGATATAAAAGCCTGAGCTTCTACGGGTAGAGCTAAAAGACCAAGTAGGAGGCAGTAGCAGACTCATAAATCCTGTTGTCTAGCCACTACAGGGGGACAAAGAGCCAAGTTCAGATTTTTAAAAATCTTTGAACATAGCTCTTTCTCTCTTGAAAGTTTATATTTGTTTTGGGTTCCTGCTTCCAAGTATTAATCTGTGCTCAGATACCAAGCCAATGATTGCCTTTCAAAGATCATAGCTAGCCACACTGATTAGATTTCAGACATTAATGAGGTCTGGGGGACAAAGTTTTACTCTAGAAGTCATATTTTTCTGCCTTACGCTGTGCTTTCTTCAAAAATGTAACTCCTTAGATTTTTTTCTATGTGGCAAGCAATCTCCTACTCTCCCTTGAGTAACAGGACAGAGTACAAACAATTCTATAAATGCTGTTAGCCTTTTAGGACCACTAATAACTGAACCTACAGAAAACAGCTTGTATCTGGGTAATGATTAGACTGCATTAGGAATTTTGACATTTCAGCATCTATTGAAATGCAACTATTTCTGACTTCAGATCTGCACTTCAGATCCCTAAAACATCAAATGACTTGTATATTGGAAATATGTTGTCAGCAACCTCCATACTAAGCTGTTGGTCTCTAATAATCTGCCATCCTCCAGAAAGTGTGGCTTTCCAGATTTGCATTTCTGCAGTTGTGATAAATGAATCAAAAATACAAAGACCTGGTTTAAGCAAAGAGGGCAGAATTTAAGGCAGAACTTGTGTTTTACACTGATAGCAGAAGCCAGTTTAAGTATAAATAACAGCTGACTTTCACTAGAACAGTAAATGTTCTTTGGCATCCTCATATGAGCAGCCAATAGAAAGCTGTCTAGTTTATATTTCTTACAGAAATCAGCTATCCAAAGGCAAAATGTCCCTCTGGGACATAGAGTGGAACTGGCCCTGAAAGATTTTTGATCTACCAACCAATTAATGAATTGTATTTACCTATCTATGCATTTTTTCCATCTGTGACAGATACAGCCAGCTACATTTTCTGCTGGTGTAAATGGGCAAAACTCAACTGAAGTCAGTAGATCAATGAAGGGGGAGGGGGATTAGCTCCCTTTTATGGATACCCAGCCAGCCAGTAGCTATAAACTCCCTCTTAGAGCAATTAGAGAACAGCTACTATCTGTAAAGGGTTAAAAAGTCTCACTGCTATGCATAGGTAAAAGGAAGTGAATGGGCACCTGGCCAGAAGAGCCAATGGGAAGGCCAGAACTTTTTAAAATTGAAACAAGACTCCCCTTTTGTCTCTGTCTGGTTGTTCTCCTGGGGAGAAGCGAACAGGGCAACAACTATGCTGTAAGAAGCTTGGGGCCAGGTATGAAAAATCCCTGGTATCATACCTAGAAATTACTCATTTGAAACCCCAGATATGTAAGTAGATCAGGAAATGTCTAGGAAGACGCAATTAGGTTTATCTCTTTATGGCTTGTGGACTCCTCTATGCTAACCCCGGATGCTTTTGTTTTGCTTGTAACCTTTAAGCTGGACCTCAAGAAAACTATTCTTGGTGCTTAATCCTTGTAGTTACTCTTTTAAAATCTAGCAAATGCCTGAGTTTCCAAAGGGTGGGTGGGTGGGTGGGTGAGTGTAATATAATATGTGTCTGTGTATATTTTTAATTTACCTTTTTTAAGAACAGGATTGGATTTCTGTGTCCTATGAGGTTGTGCACATGTTTTGTCATTAGCTGGTGAAAACAGCTGATTTCCTTTTTTTTTTCTTCCTTTCTTTCTCAGCTCTTAACTGGAGTGGGGGTGAAAGGGCTTGAGGGTACCCTACAGGAAGGAATTCCCAAGTGCGCCTTCTGGACTCTCAAAGGGGTTCTGCACTTGGGTGGTGGCATCATTTACCAATCCAAGGTCAGAGAAAAGCATAACCTTGTGAGTTTAATACTCCAAGCCTGGAATGGCCAGTATTAATTTTTAGAATCCTTGAGGGCCCCCACCTTCTGCAATCGAAGTGCCAGAGTGAGGAATCAGCCTTGACAGTAGAGTTGTGTGAATCTACATGAACATAGCAGCTTGCCCAGTATATGGGTAACTTCCTTCACTTCTTGTCTCAACACCTATTGATGAAGGCAAACAATGGCATATATAAAAATATAACAGTGAGACATTGAGTTGTTTGGCTATATGTATTTTGTGATCATAACAGCTAGGAGAGGATAACTGGTTGCCATTTGTTGGCCAAACAGATGTTGGACAAGGCATTTACCAACATCCATTTTGGCCATTTATCATTCTTTGTAGAGACAAACGGCACTGTATATTATATCTATAGAAGATATTGACAGGAAATCTGCTCTGCATTAGTCATCCAGAATGAGGTCCTTGATAGAATACAGATAATGATTAAGTTAGGAAATAGTCTGGAAAGGGAGGAGTGTGGCTAGATCACCCAGGAGCTGAAGAGGCCTCCTTAAGAGCTGCAACCAAAGTTTAGAGCTGAAAAATCCTCAGGCTAGGGTAGCACCAGTAAAGCTTCCTGCTCTTTCTAGGAGTGAGTGCCCACCTATTGGCACTTGGTGATGAAAATGGCATGTAAACACACGTATATCTACTATGGTGCATCAAACCCAAAAGATCCAAAAGCACATAATAGAAATGCTGAAAACATTTGGTAATCGTAGAGACAAGACTGGCTATAAAGAGACTTTTATATCTGTTTTAAGAGATTTTGAAACTAAAATAAAGACCATCTGCAATATTCTCAAAATATTTTGATTCCAGATGGCTGAATTGAGTACAAAGTGTTTAGGACTGAGTGCTCAGCTATATTATTTGCATGTAAATATGCATTTACTCATTATGTACACATTGCATGGAATACCAGAAACAGTGCACACTCCCAGAAACACAATTCACAAAACAGATTCTGCATGACTATTAATGGAAACAGACTCAGACCCAGTCCACGTGAAATATAAAGCCACGTTACCAATAATTGTGTTCAAGCATCGTTTGTTGCTGGTACAACAACTGACAGGTCTGGATGGGTTTTTTTCTTCCCTGAGAAACCGCTAAAGAATATGAACGAGGGGTAGGGATAAGGCTAATATGATGCACAGACAAAAATCCCTCTCCATGCTTGACAGGGAATCTGTGCTATCTATTCCCCAGTTTACTGTAGCATGGACCTGGCCAGGAGTCACTCATGTGTGGGTTTGCTATAACTGAGATGGGATCCTCCTGTTATGTGAGGATGGATATACAAGAATTTTCTTGCTTTGCCTTACAATTGCTCCAGTATGCCCAGGCTGAGCCTTTTTGCATGTTTGGCACTGAGAGCTGTGAAATATGCAATTTAGGTTACTTAATCAATAATCATAGGGCCTATGTTGCTTTCTTCCCTCTAGCTCCGTGGTTCTCAACCAGGGGTCTGGGGCCACTAGGGGACCAGAGCAGGTTTCAGGGGGGCTGCCAAGTAGGACCAGTGTTGGACTCCCTGGGGCCCATGGTGGAAAGCTGAAGCCCCGCTGCATGGGGCTGAAGCCCAGGGCTCTGAGCCCTACCACCTGGGGCTGAAGCCTGAGCAACTTAGCTTTTTGGGGACCCCTGTGGTGTGGGGCCTGAGTTGCCCTGCTTGTTATCCCCTAATGCTGGCCCTGGCTTTTATATGCAGGAAAGCAGTTGTTGTGGAGCTTTTCTAGCATGTTGGGGTGGGGCCTCTGAAAGAAAAAGGTTGAGAACCCCTGAGCTAGCTGATCACAATGGGAGTTGTGGGTGTTAGCTCCCATCTAGGCGGTCAATCTAACCACGTTAAGAGACCCTTTTACAACAAAGATGTCTAGACCTGTAAAAGCCCAAGGCTGAAGCAGGGGTTCCAACCTGGTTAAAATGTAGTTTGATCTCATGCACACTGCAAGACCAATCCATGTTTTAAATGTCATGAGACTATCTGGTTGTACCCAGCTCTCCCAACCTGGTGCTAGTTACAAAGGGGAAGCTTGCACTGCCATGGTCTGTGTTTGTGCCTATAGTGTAATAAACACACTTCAGCTCTCAGTTGACTTCAAGCTAAAGGTAAAAAGGGCTCATGGAAGTATAGCAGTAATTACCAAGGCTCAGATTTTTAAAGGTATTTTTGGCACCTAACTCCCATTGATTTTAATGGGAGTTAGTTGCAAATACCCTTGAGGAACTGGATCATAGTGTCTCATTAAAAACCATTTGCTACCTAAATTGTTTGTTTAAAAAGATATTCCTGAACATGTAAAGGCTTCAATTTAAAAGAAAACATATTTTAATATCTAAGGAACAGACTGGAGCTAACAATAGTGCAGCTAGTGAAAATGTGGGCATTCCATCAAATTTCCAGCAGTAACTTAAGCCTGCCAGAAGTGGATTTGATTATAATAAGTGCTAGGTACATTTGTTGGAATGTAATGGAAAAGAAATAGGTCACTGTCACGGAGTCCCCGGGCGATGCTCTGGAACTGCTCCCCACAAAGCCAGTCAGGACTTTGGGGAGCCTCCTCTCCCTTGGAGCAGACTGTCTTCAGGGCAAGAAGCTCACACGGCTTCACCTCCTGGGTCTCTCCTGGGAGCATTCAGCATATGCCCTTCCGTGCGCTTCCCACAGCGAGGTCCTGGGGAAGCCAAAGGGTTCTGCACCCCCCACTTCGCAGTCAGACGTGACTCTCAGCCAGGCAGTAAAACATAGGTTTATTAGATGACAGGAACACGGTCTAAAACAGAGCTTGTAGGTACGGCGGCGAACGGGACCCCTCGGCCGGGTCCATTACGGGGTTCAGAGAGCCAGACACCCACATCTGCCCTCACTTCTCGTCCCCAGCCAGCTCCAACTCTGAAAACCCCCCCAGCTCCTCCTTCTGTGGGCTTTGTCTCTTTCCCAGGCCAAGAGGTCACCTGATCTTTGTTCACCTTTAGCTATTTCCTTGCAGGGGGGAAGGGGCCCTGGCCATTTGTTGCCAGGGAGACAGAGTGGCAGTGATTTATGCGCACTGGCCTTTCCCCACCACCTAGAGACTTAAGAAATGCATAGGGGAAACTGACGCACCCACACAGTATTCCGAGGAAACATTAAGAACAGTCCCACTTCATCACAGTCACACTTTATATTAAGGGCACATTAAACCTTTAACTAAAATTATCAACATCACATGTCCAAATATACAAAGTAAATATCTTTAAATCAAACTCTAAAGCTCTCAAGCATAGTTTTTCTTACATTGCCTATCTGTAAATGTCTATTATTGGTGGAAATATTTCTATTGGTTTGTGTGTGTATGAAGAACTTGACATTTACTGACATTTACCAATAAAATCTAAGCCTTCCAAGCCTATTTATAACTATGGCTCATCCCTATCTGTAACATCTATTCATCATGTTTTAACCATTTGTAAACTATTGTACTAAATGTACTTAATATTAAGTGTGAGCAAGAAATTGTATGGAGCTGCTAGGTAGAATCATGACTGTACACTAAGAAATAGCTAGCATGGCTTTAGAAAGGAGAGGCTGTGTAAATAACTCCCATGGCTTTCTTTCTGAGAGTTCTAGACAAGGTAGTTAGTGGTAGTGCACTGCAAATTATTTATTTCCATTCTCAGTCTCCAATAAAATTGTGTGAGACCTTTAAGACCGTTAAGATTAAGCTTGTAGAACTGAGCAGTAGGACACAGGATCTGGTAGAAAAAGGAGCAGTTAAAGTATTCAGAATGTGATTGTGGGACAACCCTACAACCAGCCTGTTTGCTGTTAGTGTGCATGTTACTGTGGAGTAACTGCAGGATCTGCACAGCAGAAATATTCCATGTGTCTGATAACTTCAAACCAACAAATCCTACAGACCAGATGGAATTTATCAGTAACTTTTAAAGAAGGCCAGTTAAACATGTGCAAGTCTATAGGGCCCCATGCTCAAACTTCTAAAGCTTTTACATTGCTATTATGAATATGTGCCCATGTGTAAAAAGGCAGTTTGATTTCATAACGACATGGGAGAGAGCACTGACAAGACACAACTATGGTACATAACTAACTAGAGGAGATCTTAGCAGTGTCCAAATACAGGGACCCTAACACCATTAATCTTATGTACGCACTGGTTTGGGCATTTGGAAAATAGCAGCACTACCATAAGCGGGGAAATGGCAAAATTAAAAATTGGCTGTTTTCCCTTCTATCCTTTCGAATACCAACAATCGCTATAAAAAAGCACTTCCTGGCAAACTAGTGAATGAGGTTAGCTAGCAACATGGATTAGCGGAATAATTTATGTCTCAAGATAGGAATTGAAATTCAGACTTGACCGGCAAGTGGAAATGAACTGGGTTGTGTCTTCCTATACTTTGTGTATGTTACAAACTCAGCTCACCAACTGGCATCATCTCTTCAAGAGAGGCCCAGGCATGGACTAACTAAGGGTGATGGGAGAAGAGGGTCAGGAATGATGTAGTCTGATAAAGCCATGCGAGATAATTTGCACAGCATCTTGCTCTAGACAGCTCTTCTCCTTCATGAGCCCATAATCAATACTTGAATAAATATGGGGAACAGAGAGTGGGAGAATAGATCTGCCAATTCTGAGTATGTATGCAGCGTAGCTGTGTGGGTCCGAGGATATTAAATAGACTAGGTGGGGGAGGTAATATCTTTTATGGGTCCAACTTCTGTTGGTAAGGGAGACAAATTTTCAGGCTGACAAACCCGAAGAAGAACTCTGTTGGTTGGAAAACTTGGCGCTTTCATCAACAGAAGTTGGTCTAATAAAAGATATCTCACCCCACCCTGTCATGCGGTGTGTGTACATTTCAGCAGTTCAAATATTCAAGGGATCTAGATTCTATTTAATTTGGGAATTGGATGTCCAAATCCTTTAGATGGCTTTGAAAATGTCAGCCCTATAGTTAACTTTAAAATGATTGGGCCAAATTCATCTCTAGTAGAGCTCCATTGGTGTGAATGGAGTTCTACCAAAGATGAAATTGACCCACAGTGTGAGAGCTTCATAAGAATCTTATTTAATTGTATCTAC